TAATTGTTTATTGTGACTGGATAGTTCCTACAGTCATAGGAATACACATAAGACTCTACTGAGTGGATACTCTCAGGCACATGGTGTGATTCTTGGGGATGGTCCTGTGCAGGGCCAGGAGCTGGATTTAATGATCCTTGTGGGTGCCTTCCAACTTGGCATATTCTGTGATTCTGTGAGTGGGAGATGCTGTTTGCTTTAAACCCAGAGGGCAAGGTTTTCAAGGACATGCTTTTCTTTTTTGAAAATACATTTTACCATGAAACAAATTCATATCTTGTTTTGTTGCATGGAAAAAAAAAAGAGATCTGTTTTCTGTGTCTTTATGTGTTTTTCATTACTGGTAAGTCCCATAATTATTATGAAACCAAAAATTTTTTTCACTTAGTTGTGTTGAAATTTCTTTTTCTTTTTCTTTACTTTTCTTTTTTTTTTTTATTTCTTCCAAGTGATTCCATTATGTATTTGTAGACAGAGTTAAGCTTTTTGCTATTTGCCATCAAACCAAGAAATTGAAGTGGGATGAAATCAGAATAACATGAGTTTAAAGTTTATGTATTAAAATAAATAGGAAACATTTTTTGTCTATTAGGTTGATGGCAGAAGTAAAATTAAATTCAACCAAAGAGTACAGAACAGCAAGATTAAATCTGTGATGCACTGGGGTTTATGAGTAGAAAAGAATGATTCCTGCATATGTTTTACAACATCTGAGTGGAAACACTTATTCTGCAGCTTGAGATAGGAAATACAATCAGTGAAGCTGAAGCCAGGCATGTATTTATCTTAAATTAATCACTCTCCAAGTAGGCAGTTGATATCCTAGTGCTGTGTGCCATCCCTTTTACATTCATGCAGCACACATTAAATCAAAGAGCTGTTATTGTAAGAGCTGAAATATATCGCAGCATACAGATTGTAAATGTTTAAAAATACACTAACACTCTTCTGTATGTTCAGTTGGCAATTAAACTGTATTAATATCTTTTAATATTTAAAATTATTAGACACTTGGAAACACATATACTTACAAAATTCTTACAGTTTTCACAAGTATAAGAATTGGGTTTAAGATCTTTAAATACAGAAGAAGAAAAAGAAGCTACTTGTAGGTTTCAAGCTAGAATATTTTTTAGTTTATTTGTGCCTTTTATCCAATGAAATTTAGTTCTGATTTTCTCCAACATATCAACAAGCAAAAATCCTAGAGTTATTTCTAGTTTTTGAATTTACAGGGAGCTGGACAAGTTAGGTCTGAATCTCACAATCTGGATTGAATAACAGAAAGAAAGTAATTCTTTTTTTAGTGTTTCAGTTTGGATACATATAGTTCAATTCAAGAACAGAATAATTCAGGCAATAGCAGTACTAAAGAGAGACCTGCCTTTGAGGCACAGATTCTCCAAAACATTTATATTTTAATTTCATTCTAGGACAGAGCCTGAGGTTTTGTTAGATTTGACCTCAAATGTCATAAGAGCGAGTGAAACGAAAGGATAATTTAATGTTTCCTACTGCAGATGTAGTAATTAGAAGAAACTAAAAATCAGTCATTATGCAAAAAGCAAGAAATGAAGCAGGCAACATTTTCTCTTAAAGCATCTTTTTTTTTCCTCCTAAGTATTGATGATATCTGACAGTAATTGCTTGCCAACAAAAGTACTGCAACTGGAATCTTATCTTGTTTATTCTTTGTTGATTCTCATGTTATCACACCTTTTTTTATTCTTCCTCCTCCAAGTTTTCTTTGTTTCTGGTTTTAAATCAAAGCAATTAAAAAAAAAAAGTGGGATTTAGAAATCCTAAATGGCAACTTTTTAACATTGTTTTATCTTTCAGTATTTTCAGTAGCCTTCATTTTATCTGTGCCACACAGTATATATGCAGACAAATTCTCACTGTACAGCAAAACCTGCATTTGAGTTCTGTAAACTCTCGTAGACTATTAACCACTCTCCAGACATGCCACGCTGTAGCAGTTCTGAAGGACTTTCCACCCCCATCTGTAAGCTGGCTATGAAGTGACTTCTTGTCTGCTGTGGTATGGTGGTTTAAACTGACTTGACTTCTTGTGTATTGCAGTGCAAGTAGGAAAGTGCATTCCCTATCTGCATTCCCACCTATTTGAGGGATGTCAACATGCAAGTGGTGGGCAGTCACATCTCAAATCACTATTTGTGAAGCAGATAGTTTGACAGAAATGTTTCCCCAGGACAAATGCTAGATGCCCGCACAGAACCAGACAAATACAAGTGCTTAGCTATTTCCTTCATATATGGTGAGCTAGTAGCTAGATAAACAAACCCAAGAACAATCCTAAATAGAGTAAACAATAATATTATTTCAAATTAATCATGGTAGTGGTCAACATTTAAACAAATCTGCCTGGTCACCTTCTTAAATCTTTTAATTTAATGACCTGATTTTTAACCTTCCAGGGGAGATTTGGAGTGGACAAGCATTTCTTTACTGAGGGGGTGGAAAACACTGGAACAGGCTTCCTAGAAGGCTGGGCAATGCCCTCAACCTATCAGTGTTTAAGGGGCATTTGGACAATGCCTTTAGCAATATGCTTAAACTTGGTCAGCCCTGAAGTGGTCAGACGGTTGGACTAGATGATTGTTGTGTGTCCCTTCCAACTGAAGAACATTCTATTCTATTCTATTCTATTCTATTCTATTCTATTCTATTCTATTCTATTCTATTCTATTCTATTCTATTCTATTCTTTGTTAAATACCCAGAGTTTGGAAGTAAATGGAGCTATAAGTAGAACTATTCTATCTTCAAAGTTTTTGAAAATATAGGTTGTTTAGAGTTTGATGAAAAACCTAATTAACCCAGCAAGGTGTGTGCCTTTATTTTGACTTCTGGATCTTTACATACACAAGGATGTTGTTGAAGAAACTGAATATGGATGAAAGGAGTACAGATTTCCATTTGCTAGGAGCAGGTGCCAAGGAAGCCGCCCTTTGGAAAAGGACAGATCTACAATGAAATTGTACCATCCAGATAACAGGTGGGCTAACTGTGGCTGAATGCACAAAGCCACTTAAAGCCTGTCATTCTATGACTGTTCATTGTGGTATTTCTTTTGCTTATGTTGGAGGCCACTGTCAGAAAAGGAGGCAAAGTGCACCCATCATCGGACTGGTCTGCTCTGGTTTTGCTATCTCTACAAAGACACTATACATTTGACAGAGGCAGAACAGAAAATGTAGATGTAATCAAATCAGTATTGCAAAGGCCAAGCACACTTGAAGGGAAATTAAGATACAAAAGCTCTGATTTATGAAGATCTGCTTGCTCAAAAGAGAGCTGTAATGTGAACCCTTTTACCAGATTGGGACTTTGAAAAGAGAGACTTAGATGGAAATACCAACATACTTAACTGTAGCAGTCTTGAATTGCCCTACTAAGATATAATGGGTTTTGGAAGTCTGCAAAGTGTTATTACTAATAGTGATGCATAGAAAAACTTTTGTTTTCCATCTCAGGGAAATCCCTTATCCGTTGGTAGAAGGAAAATCACTTTTTTTTTCATGTGCCTAGAAGCAAACTTTGTTTTTTGTGATGAAAACATAGACTGAATGTGTTTTGCCTGCTGATGACACTTAGAAAGCAAAGATAGATGTTTATAAGTACTTTTACTAGTAGGAATACCCCTGTCTTTGTGTCTGTTTGTACTGTATATAATGAAAGATTAACACTTACATGCTCTTTGGTGCATACAGGACATGAGCTACATAGAAGACTGCAGTATGTCAAAGGTTCTGCAAGACTGGGGAGCTTAGATAGCTCAAGTTAGAGTAACTGCATGGCCACAGTGAAGTCCTACATTTCCAGGGCAACTGCTTATGAAGTTTTAGCAGAATTCCTGTATTAATTGAAGACTTTTTCCTTATAAGTCTCCAAAGTGTAAGTGAAGGCCTGTTCTATCAACATATGGAAATAAAAAGAAAGCTTAGACAAATTTACTTCCTCAAGTTTTCATTTCATCTATTACAGTCATTTGTGATTTTACACTCGAAGGGGAGGCAAGACAAGGTTTATTTTGAAAGCACCATATTTACTTTTTGTCCTCTATATGTACCTTTTAGACAAGCACGAGGTAAGGCTTTATACATCCACAGCCCAATTTTCAGAACCAATGAGCACCACAGATTTCTGTGACAACATCTGGAGCTATATGTCTTACCATCTCTGAAAAATCAGGCCTTCAGACATTATTGCTTCATTTCCCCAGGCAAATCGTCTCAGAGTACCTCACAAAATGAATGAGAAGCGCAGACTGCTGCAGTTCAATTTGTACTAACATTTATGTCTTGAATGTCAGGATGGCTTTTTAAATGTTTCCTTATAAAACTAAGTCCACTGTCAACAGTATTCCTCACTCTGATTAGAGGAAGTATTTTACAGCTTAATAAAATCCTAAACCAAGCAGAGAGCTGCCAAAGTTTCAGAAGAAAATATGTGAAACAAGCTCAGCTCTTCTCTGAGCTACAGAAAAGGCATGGTGTGGTTAAGTGTGTGTATTGGGTTAGTGAGGCAAGGTTTTGGTAGCCAAGGTGTAACAGAGGTGGCTTCTGTAAGAAGCTGCCAGAAGCTTTCCCCATGTCCAACAAAACTGGTAGCAGCTGGCTGCAAGACGGACCCGCCGCTGGCCAAGGCCAAGCCCATTGGGGACGGTGGTAGCACCTCTGGGATAATGCATGTAAGAAGGGGCAAAAAAAGTTGCTGCACAACAGCAACTGCAGCCACATGAGAGAGGATTTGGGAATATGTGAGAAAAACAACTGCTGACACCAAGGTCACTGAAGAAGGAGAGGGAGGATGTGCTCCAGGTGCTGGAGCTGAGATTTCCCTGCAGCCCCTGGTGATCCAGGCTATCCCCCTGCAGGCCATGGAGGTCCACAGTGGAGCAGAGATCCACCTACAGCCTGTGATGGACTCTGCACCAGAGCAGGTGGATGCCTGATGGAGGATGTGACCGTTCCTGACTCCCCAGGTTGAATCTGTTTTGACTGTGATGGTAACTGGTGATTGATCTCTCCCTGTCCTTATCTTGACCCAGGAGCCTTTCATTGTCTTTTCTTTTCACTGTCCATTTGAGGAGGGGGAGTGCTAGAGTGGCTTTGGTGGGCCCCTGGCATCCAGCCATGGTCAACCCACTGCAGCATGTAGGTGAGAACTGTTCTGCCTTTTACCTTCATGTGCAAACCAGCATTTCCTGATAGCAATGCATGTTTTCCTCTCTGAGCACCTCTAGGCAAGAAAGGGTAGATGGAGCTTCCTTCGATAAAGCTTTGTGAGGCATTAGTAGAGCACTCTACTAGTTTTCACAGTTTCTGTTTCTCCTCATAATTTGATCCTTTTGATATGCCATGGTGTTTTTGTTTTTGTGTGGTGGTTTTTTTTTATTGGTTGATTGTCTGTTTGTTTTGAGAAAATAGTAAAAATAAACAATGATTCTTTATGAATCATTGTTCCTGTAAAGTCTTCCTAGTCCAGATTGGTTTTTTTTTTCAGGAGATAAAACTGTCTCCTCAAATGGTGTAAAATGCTTCAGGAGATGTTAGGCTCTCCAGCTGTCCTAAGGTTGGGACTCCCTGAAGAAAGATGAGAAGTTCTGATTTCTGCATCCTGCTCAAGTCAATGCCATTTGTGCAGTGATACATATATAAGCCCTCTACTTTCTTTTCAGGGGCAAAGAAAAGTAGCAGATGTCCCAAAATCCATTTAAAATACCATTTTCTGATACAGATTAGGGTTTATGAGTTTGCTTACAAGTTTACTTACTTGTGCTTGCTTTGACAGTGACTTTACTGCACAGAAAAGCTCTTCTAAGGTAACATTTATATTTCCCTGTCTGGTGGCTTAGATTTACTTTAAACAATATATGAAATAATAGCTTTGGCATGATTAGTCTAAGTATGGTTTTCATCCCAAGTGTGTCAAAGCCTTTGGTACAGATGTCATGATGTAATCATACCCCTATCCTGGAATGGTTCACTGGAATATTGTATTGTGTGTGTTAGAGTCAGTCTGCTATTGTGTGGCTGTTGTCCAGAAAACAATTTTTTCCATTAAATGATCAATATAATAATTGTTTCCATTCTCTCCCTTTCTTTCAAGTGAGCACTTTCTGTCCTGGTACCCTTTGCTGTTGAAAGTCTTCCACTTCTCCAAGTTTCCTCTTTTTCTGTGTGCTCCTTTTCACAGCTGCTTTTGAGAATGCTTCTAGTGCTGGTATCAACACCACGCTGCCAGTGCTTCTGATACTGCTTCTGCACTGCACTAAAAATTTTTCACAGAGCTTCAGGGCATTCAAGACATTACACCTAAGAGGTCTGCAAAGAATCAGGGACAGTTTGGTGCTGTACATGTAATGATTGCGAAGTTAACAGTCACTTTGTTCTGTTAAGTGTCTCTGTTCATTTATTCCTGTGTGATATAGTCACTATATGTCAAGGAGTGTAACAAAGCTCTTGTGATTTGCAACATTCAGTTTATAATATACTTATTGTCAGGCTTGAATACAGAAATATATGAGTATGTTTTTGTATGTATTGTCATATATATTGTCAATATGTATTGTCATATATATATATATATAGACATAGACTATGTAGTTTGGTAAGGGTAGTGAGGGAAGAGCTCTAGAGCAATAGAGAAGAAAATGCAGCTGTTGTTTATGTGACTGAGCATAATGCACTTGAAGTTATGAGGCTGTGTGACTCTGCTTGTGGCAGATTATGTGTAATGAATATAATGCAAATGATGTACGAAGGAAAAACTGTAGAACAGCACAATGGTACAACTCCTGTACAACAGCAAGAAACCTCTGTACTTAAAACTGAATAAAACAGACAGAAAGAATTATAAGGTGGTAAATCAGTGCCTGTGCAAGGGCAAAATTAGCAGAATTAGGGAAAGAGGAAGGAAGTTTACACCCTTTGTGAGCTTCTCTGTCAAGGGGAATACCAGATTATGATTTCTCTTGTCAAGAAGGAGTAAGGTTCAGTCTGAAATTATCAAAAATATCATCACGTCAATTTAGGAGAATTAAAGAAACTTGGTAAAGATAGTACTAATCAATTTATGATGCTGGAAAAAATGGATAACGTTTCTGGCTAGGGTCTTTGGAGGAGGTTTGTCTGGAATGTCTTCTTTTCACAAACCTAAGGCATACTGTAGATTTAGCCAGTGGGGCAACTAGGAAAACCAAAACATCCATCATCTGGCCAGTCAAGTGAACTCACCAGAGACCTACTTCTTAGCTGAGTTCTCCAACAAATGGGAAGTGCTCCTTTCTTGTAACATGTGATTGCATAGGTGAATATGTATATTGAGTCCTTCAAAAGTCTCCGTGACTTTAGATACTCATAAAAGAACATTTATTTGTTCATGCAGAGTCTAACATGGCAGGTTAAAAAAGGAGGAGGCAGATATTTTTCCAGGTGCAGTCTGTGTTCTGCACTGTTATCCGTAATGGATTGTGGACTCTGGTTAGATTGCCCTCATTTAGAGTATCTATGGTAATACTGAATTATAAAGAAGAAAAAGCTGTGCAGATTTATCCTACCTTTTGAAAGTATGATTTTGAATTATAATTGCTTGTATTGTGTGAGATAATGCCCATATGAGGTAAAAATATTAACTCTGGGGATAGAGAAATAAAATTGAGATACCCACCTGTCAAGTGTCATGAGGCATAACAATTATTGATAGTGCACAATGCCTTCAGGATGAACAGCTGCACAGAAAGACTCAGACCCTATATCTGGATGTACCAATGATATTCCTCTGTCCAGGAATTTTTTTCCTTTTCTTTTTCAAGTTACTGTTTATGGAATTGCAGTGAGTATTTAAAAAAAAACAGGATAGGGGAGGCGGAAAAATGGTCAAGATTCAAAAAAGCAATTTAGAAAGATTGGAAAAGATGTAGGAGGATTTTAGGAAAAGCAGCACACAACTGGGATTGAGACTTGTCAAGATATCAAGCAGAGCTTCTACCACAATACTAGTAATAAAGGACTAAATGAGGACAATGTGGGCATGATGCTGGATGGGGTGGGAGAATTAATAACAGCGGACAGAGATATGGCTGAGTTGCTCAGTGCTATCTTTGCCTCAGTCTTCACTGACTTACTGCTAATCAAATGTAACTAATCTGACTTGGAGGACTGAAAGTTCAGAATGCAGCTGGTGTGAAAGGGTTTTATATTGTGAAGAAGCTCTTGCTTTCAAAAGAGGTCACCCTTAGATAGTAGCTCACACTTTCCTCTTTCATAGAAGTATTTTGGTGGATTTTTGTTAAAAGTTTCTGGCAGATCATGGGAATATCTTAATGCTTCAGAGCCTGCACACCTTTCAAAGATGTACTTAAAGAAAAAAGCTTTGATTGTTGAAATCTACCGTGATGGACTAAGCAGAGTATTAACATACAAAATACAAACATACAAAATTTGAGTGTTTATTCTGATGCTAGCACAATGAAAGGGTTACAGCAACGGAGACAGCTGGGAGTTAATTCACTGTTGTGCTGTGTGTGTTTGAATTGTCCAACTATCTTGCAAAATACACTTCTTCCTGAAAGCGGTCTTTGTGCCAATTACACTGTTCTACCTTGTGCTCAGCCTGTTGTCCTACTCTGTAGTCATGTATTCTGCAGTAGACATATATTTCTGTTCTTCGTGAAGTATGATAAACAATGCACTTGATGTTTCAGTAAGTATTGATGTTTCAGTAAGTATTGAAGAGGTACATCTTCCAGACACTGGTGGCATGCGGAATGTCTTCCAGATGCCCCACTGAATCCAGTCTAAGGACAAACAATGTGGATTTGTCACAGGCATAGGTGTGGAGTTAACTCAGTTTAGAGACTTGTGACTGATTCAGCCCTAGGTTCCCAATCACAATGATTGCTGTTGCAAATTCACAGAAGAATAGACTCATGAAACCTACTGTGTAAATCAAATACAAATTATTCAGCTTCAACACATGACAGATATATAGAGGGTTAAAATCTAATTCATACAAGTACTGTGCTCTCAGAAAAGGTTGGATTGAAAAGAGATCGCTTACAGGAAGAAAAGTGTTTTCAAGTATAAGCGAAATACTGAGAATTGGCATTAAAGTCAAAGTGTAAGGAAAAACAGGAAGAACGTTAGGAATACATAGGAAAGTAGAAAGAAGAAAGAATGTAGAAGAAGAAAAGACATTTTGGAAGACACAGAGCTGCTGTGGGAAGTGAAGACATTCACCTCGTACACATGTGCATGATTTTCTCTCATTTGAAAGGCTTGCTGAGCTTGGTGTTAAAAGCAAGAACAGCAGCAAAGGAAAGTTTTAACTGTTCATACGGATAAGGGTTTGAGGCTCAATAGCTCAGAAAGTCCTCTGAAAGATGAATGCAGATCTTTTACAAGATATAGGCCAAAATCTGGTTTAGAACTTGAAATCCTGAAATGTCTGCTGTTAGACCCAAACAAACATGGCAAAGCATAAGAAAAAATACGGTACCTTTTTAATTTACTTTTTTTTTTTTAAATTAAAAAGAAGCCTACTCTTGTGATGGTTTTGCAGTTTACATAGGAGTCATTAATAACTTATGCACCTTCCAGCCTAACTTCTTTGTCTGACACCTATTCAGCTGTAACTATGACAAATTGCTTGCATACAAAGGCTTTTCAGTCCCTGGAAGTATAGACTGAAGTAGAAACCATTCATTTTTCAAGAATTTTAAACTGACTACTTGGTCATTGCTGATGTATTTTGTAAGGAAGGCTTTTTGCATGAAAAAGTCTAATCCTGCCTGTTCCTTTTGTGCTTTTATAGTGCATTTTAGCACCTACATTTCTGACCTGAAGCTAAAAAAAAAAAATCCTCCAAAATATCTTTTCTGAATGCGTCTCATTCTTTTCTTATGGTATTATTTGGCAGAGAAGCTATCTCCAAGGTCTAAACAGTATTCTGAATCCATTTTGTCTTTAGGGTCAATCTAAACTATTACAACAGATGAAATGGTAAAAATAGAGCACTATCAGCACTGATGTAATAATTTGTACCATTCCTTTTCCCGCTGACAAAGAATTGTATACACGGCCACCCAGTTTTTCAGGTCTTGAAAAGGTCTGGAGCCTGTTTTCAGCTTTAAAATAATTTTTCCCTGGAAATGAATTTTGACTACTTCATGATATTGTTGGTCAAGAAATCCTTAAATTTAGGATTAGAGGCTGCAAACCTGAAATATCTCTGAAAGAGCAAGCACAGGATCATTTCAAAACTTATTGACCATGAATGATACCTTAAGAAATAAACAAAGATATCCTTTCTCCTTTCTTTGATACAATTTAGAAAGGTCTCCAGAAAACCTTTCTATTGCTCTGCAATTCAGACAGTATAAAAAATTTTTTTTCTAATGACAAAGTTTGTATTTCATTTAAGTTCACTTTTTCTCAACTTTTTACAGTTACTTTCCACTTCATAGGTTTTACCATGTTGCAATTAGTATTAGAATTAAAAAGTAAGATTATGCCAAATATTTTTCCTGTGTTAAGTGTTGTGTCAACCCCTTTGAAAAGGGATTATATAGTGAACTTTGCACTAACTGTAAGATTTGCATAGCAAATTACTCTGTGTGGCATAATTTTCCTTATTTATGTATTGATTTCAAAGCCTATGAAGTCAAATTCACTTAAAAACAGTGTCGATGTTTTGTAGTACTCTGTTGACTAGCACTGCACAATGTGTTTAGGAAGTTTGGTTCATAAGAGGCTAGAAATAAAATACTGCAGTAATCTGAAAACTTAAGTTTAACTGCTGAATGACAGAGATTGAATTAAATTTTGTTTGATGAAGTGTTAAAAAGCAATGCCCAAAAGTGTCTTCATATTATTGATCCGCACCATGTTCTGATGAAATGGATATCACTTTCTGATTTTGTGTTTTGGTCGTTCCCCCTCCCCTCCCTGAGTTCTTGTTGACTGGATGAGATGTCACAACCCAGTTTTGATAGTTAGAAGTAAAATAGTCCGTTTAAAATTTTAAATGCTAAATTATATATTCAAGACGACGCTGGTTGTGGTCGTCTGGTTGTCTTTGTTGATTTTTTTTTTCTAAAATTTTCTGAATTTTTGTGAAGAACACATACAGACTTTTTTATTTAAATATAAGGTATGATTTCTCTGGTCTGTTGATATTTCCGCCCAGCCTTCATAACCAAGTCCTGTACTTTCTATGTCATCCTGAGCACATATTGGATGGTGCCGGAGTCAGAGAGATGTGCCAGCTGAAGATGAAAAAGCTGTGCTTGACTTACTGTCCCTTGGAAAGGTGTTAAACCAGAGGAGAGGACTATGGGACTATTTGCCTTAAGTCACCTCAACAACTATCCAGACTTCATCAGAGAAAAAGCTACTGAAATAGTACTCTCTCTGTCCTGCTGAGATCTAAAAATTTGTGAGGAAAAACATGTGGTCAAGGTTTCAAAAGCCTGAGAGAGTTCTGATAAATCTTGTTCATTAGTTCACTGCAAAAGGGAGACACTGACCAAAGGAATCAGAATGGTCTTTGAACCAGAGAGAGTTTTAAATCAGATCAGCTTGGGATAAGTGAAATCTTAAATTTGTAACTTTCTCTGTGTCCTTCCCTCTGGAAGGGGGAGAAAAAAAAATCAAAACTCCAGCCTCAGAAATATTTCTAAATTGTTGGCAAAGTAGATGCTTTAGTCTTTAGACACATGGCTGGGGCTCATCCCCATTGGGCTCGCCATGAGCTGGGAACCACATCATTACCAGCCCCTAACAACTCTGCTGCCTTTCTGCTTGGCAGGACCACAGCCTAAGTGTAATAAGATGAAAGAATGGCTTGCTCTTCAGTGCTTTCCATCACTTTTCACACAGATCTCTAAATAGTACATAGGTACTTTAGATAGGGATCTTTAATATAAAAAGTAATGAAACCCAGTTTCTAGCGAGAACACTGAGGCTGAAAAGGAAATGAACTCAAGTGTTTAGAATTAAGTACTTTGTCTGCGAGTTGGGTATTTTTCTTAGCACAAAGAAGAAATGGAAGACCTGTTTAAACTTTTAGAGTGTACAGCTTAAACAGACACTTCAATAAGTTTAAGTAAACTTCACTTTAAAAATTATGAATAAATGTAAATACAGTGAAAGCTATGGTTCATGTGAAAACTACTTGAAGTCTGCTGCATACATACAACTAACTTCTTATCAAAATATTGAATCTGTGTCATGTTTACGATTTTACTTGTCTGATACCACTGTAATGTATTGAAATTATAATGATAAGAAAATTCAGCAATGAATCAAAAAATAGTGAGAATTCGTTTATATAGAAAAAGGCCTATGTTTATACAAACATCGCATGTATGTATTTAAATACTGTGATTGTATCACATATGACAAAGGTTGTATGAATTTCAGGAAGTCTGAGGGACAGTTGTGGTAGTGTGATAGAGAAACTAGTGTAACTTGATTTACTGCTTTTACATTTTTTGGCTCTAGGGATACCTGCTCTGTCTGTGTAATTCTCAGCATGGCTTTTAGTGACAAAATAAGTAATAAAACGAATGTGCCACTCAGGTCAGTGTTGTTCCATATGTTTTGCAGAAGAGCACTTCAAGGCAGATTCACCTTTACGTTTTGACTTTCTTATACCTTTGAACGTCACATCTCTGGTGGCATGTTAGTTCCATTTGTAGCTTCTAAACTGCTTTCCACAGCATCTGCATGTGTGGTGCAGCATGCATAAGGATCCCGTTACCAATTCTGTAGGTAGTATGATTTCTGTTACAGCAGTACCTATGCGCCCTCATCATGGGTTTTGTCTGTACTGGATATTGTACAGACACTGCCCTGACAGAGCCACTAGTTTGATTCCATTGCTAATGTTTGTGGAAGAGTGTGTATAGAAGGAAGGAATTGGATGAAAGATAAGAATATCTTACTTTTCCTGACAGATTGAGGAAATAACAGATGAATGGATTTTTGGGTACATCCTTTATTGTTTTTCCCTTAAGAGGCAAGAGTAAAAGTACATGTGCTTTGTCCTTTTGTGCCTGTTCCACGTAGGAACTTCATGTATAAATTTTTCTAGTAATTTAAGTGAGTAAATGGAAGCTTATGTTTTTGACTTAGCTCTGTCAGCAAGGCTGTATTTGCTATTATGTAAATTCACCATCAGTTCACTAAGTGATTTTCCTGGTTTTATAACTTGAGCTTATCTTATACTTTTATCAAAGCACTTAGGAAAGAATTGATACAATAGGCCTGATGTTAAAGGGTCAAATGAAGGAGCTAAAAAATAAGCTTCTGACAAATGAGGAATTATTTAGTGTATTTTGTTGCATAACAAATATGCCAAGAGCTTTAATTTTTGGTGTTGCCAGAATATGCAAAATCTTAAATCCTTACTAGTGAGTCAAAATCATCCCACTAACCAAAATCTTTGACATCGAACAAAAAACCTCCAAGTTCAAGGTACATCAGAAATGGTCAATTTTTTTCTAAGCATCTTAAAATGCTGAAATAGATTCTAAATAAACTGTTTTGCTTAGGACAGTTTTGTCAAAATTAAGTGCTTTCAGTGCAATCTCAAATGGTTATTACTCCAGGTTATTTTAGGGATGGTATTTGCTGTATCAAATATTTTTTGTTTACTATGAAATATCTGTCTATTCAATTGGTTTATTAAAAATCAATGGCTGTGACAGATCCTGTTACTCATAGCTATGCTGAGTTATATTTAAAATTTATATGTGTTTATTTATAGTATTTATTATATTTTAAAATATTCATTTAAAATTTATTTATTCCACTTGCCCAACGCTTTCTGTCAAGAAATTTTTTTTTTGACAATTTTTAAACATACAGAAAAAAACCATCTTTGGAAATTAGTGCTATGACATGATAAAAAATCCCCCCAATTCTCTAATTATATTATTATATGTGATAAACATAGCTATTTTAATAGTTCTGATAAACATTTAAGCTTTATGTCTAACACTATCTACTGGCTGGGTGCGTTTTCAACTTTTTGCATCATCCTTTTGTTAGGGAACATGTTCATATTTTGTGTATTGTAGCAATTGTGGTACATATTTTGCCAAAACTAGGGGAACTGAATTTCCTCTACAGTGAAATTATCAGGTAATTTTATATTGGGATATTGACTCGATTATAACTATCATTTATGAGAAGTATCATATATTGTCTGTTTATGCTGAAAGAAGTGTCTTCCAGGATATTTTCCTTCATATGATCAGGAATTAATGTGGTTTTGGTTTGCTTTTGGTTTTTTTCCCCACATCTACTCTTATCCAATAGGTTCATTTTTCCAATAGGTTCACTTTTCTTAGAAATAGTGTCAGCATAAAAACTGTTCTCTTGTAAACATGACTCAACAAACAGCAACAGTCATATGTTGGTTGTTATTCCTCAGAAGCAGGTAACAGGAGTCATCATGTGTAGTTTGTTCTCTTGCTGATAGCAGTACGTCATACACTTGAAACTTGCATTAATGAAAGGTCTTTAAAATATGGAAAAAGCATAATACTAAAGGTTTTTCTTCTTCGAGCTTATTATTAAGCCACCAAGGCTATTTGTGCTTCAGTTCAGATTTCAGCACAAACATAAATGTAGTTTTCTCTTCAAAGCTGCTGAAATCGCACCTTCATAGTTTTTTAACTCTTTTTAACTCTTCTTCACATGAAAAAATTAAAAGCTGTTGTTCAAATTCTGGATGACGCTTTTCCTGCTCCTTCCTCCCTCTTTGTTAGACATTGATCCTGGTTTACTTTGTCTCATTACATTCTGAAGTTCACATTGACATGGTAAGCAAGGCCAACAACCACTTGAAGTGTTTGAAAGCACTAAACTGGTTTAGATTTGTTTTCAGTTCAGGTGCGATAAAACCTTTCTGTACCTTCTGCACAATTAGCCCTCATCCTTGGGTGTTGTGCTCATTAGCATTGCTGATATTGAAAACAAATGGATTTATGCATTCAGATCTGGGATTATCCTTTATTTGTGTTATACCTTCTCATGTACTGTCATCTCAATAAATTACAATGCTATCTTGCAGTATAGTATTTCTCTCTTTCATGGGAAAAGTTTGTCATACATTGATGGCAAGTTTCCACAATGCTTTTTGTTCCTGCCAGGTTTGCCCTAGTATTTTTATTATGCTTGCAGTAGCTGCCCTGAGGTCTGTATCAGTAATTTTAACATTTCCATTTTGTTGCCTTTGCCTTTCAGCAGTTCACTTACTTCTTTTAGGAACTAACAAATCTACCTTGTTTTCAGCTGTGCAGACTAGGCTGGCTCATTCCTTTCGTTATCTGTGTTTGCATATTTACTGTTCTCATCAACATTAATATTTTCATTCCCCTTATTGTACTTTCAAATTTTCCTCTGATAGTCCTTCTTCTACTGTCATATTTTTACTTACTCATTTTCCTCTTCCTGTAAACTACAGCCATGCAGAGACCTTCATCTGCTTTTAGACTTTCATATGTTTCCTTTTTCCCGTCACACTGAATAACAAGCTAATGCAAATAAGGCAAATCTTTCTGAATTGCCCCTGTACTCCTTAATTTAAAACTCATTTCATCAACCCCGCTATCATTCATTTCAGCTTGATTCACACTTCTCTATGAATTCAATGCTACACAGAGAAGACACATGTTTGATCAGTAGTCATTCTAATGTTTTCCTATCTATTACTATCATTTTTGAACAGCTCTAATTCTTGATCTTCATTATTTTGCTGTGTTTCTTCATTCCTTTGAGAAAAAACACAAGAATTTCAATGAAAATTTCCCAAGATTCCCAATCAGACACATCTGTAATCCCTTTCACATGAGTTTCATGTTGTCAGCTTTGCTGATATGATGGATGGTCAGTAGGTTCTGCCTGACTCTCATGAGGGTGTTTTTCAGACTTCCATCCTCCTCTCATGACCTTCTTTTTGTCAGAAAACACATCCTTCTTTCTTTCATATGTTTTATAAAGACAGAATCACTTATTCATAAGAGCAACGATATCCAACTTAGGCAGACCAGAAAACTGATTCTTTAACCTTATTTTTTAACCAACCTTCTCATCTTTTCATAATATTCTTCTTAATTTCCTGTAACTCAGGGGCTCATTCTTGTTTCTCCACACACACCTTGACCTTTCTATTTCCAAGGCTGGGATTTGGGCAGGAATATGTTAAAATGTTGTCTGTATGGTAAAACCTAGAAATTAAATGGTTTTAGTTCGTCTTCAGGCAAAGAAAAGGGAGGCATTTTTATGAACTGTGTTAATTCTATAGACCCAATATGCTCCTGAACCCTGTGCCATGTTTGTGCCATGATTTTCGTTAGGAGTCACAGAAACCTTTTGTAGGAAATGGGTTGTTTTCCAAAGAAAAAACTGAAGAGTTTAAAAAGATGTAAAATCCTCATCTTTGTCAGCTTTTTGAAAAGCTTCATATGCTTCTGCAACTGCAGTAGCAGATGGTTGATTAAGATTTATTTGGAGTTAAAGAAATATTTTTTCCATTTCACAGACCTTTTTATTTTTTATTTTGTTTTGATTTTAAAATTTATTTTATTTTATTTATTTTTCTTATTACTTTTATTTCTTCCATACTCAATAGCTCAACAAACAATAAAGATAACTTCTTCTGTAGCTAATAATCTAGTATGGCAAATTGCAGAGAGCCAAGACCTTTCCTTTGGCATTTACCAAACATACAAATCATACTGTTTACTAGGAGGCTTATGTATATGTTAGAATATTGGTAAAAACACACCCATAGGATAACTGAAATACTTTTAAACTCAATGCAAACCCAAATTTGTTTCCTTTATCAACCAAAAAAAAGTTAAACCAAAATATTTCTTGGGTGAGGCAGACAGTGCAACAATGCAGAGATTAGTATTTATACTCCAGCATTGATGCTGGTGAAATTCTCTCTCTGATGCTTTTTGATACAGATGATCTTTAAATGTACTATTGCATAAAAATTGGTCAGTTGCTGGTGTTTTCCAGTTTTGACAGAAAGGAGTCACTACTTTTGATTTTTTTTTCCATTCTTTTAACTTGTTACATGTATTTGCATAAAACTTGTAGCTACAGTAAATATTTAACCTAACTTAACAATTTCAAGACCCAGAAGGTGCAGTGTAGCATGTGCAGTATATGACATGGCTCGTTATGTTAATGGCTAAAGAGTTTTCATACTTCATATTTCAAGAAAAATCTAGCAATTGATGACCCTTTTGAGGGGCTGAGTTCGAGGTGTAAGTATAGTTATAAGTGTGATCAAGAGATTGTAGAGGAAGATTTCAAAGCAGCTGGCCAAGTTAAGTGAAATAAACTGCAGGAACAGTGCACCCTGATTCCCAATTGTCAGAAAAACTTTATTCCTTTAAGGTACAGAGAATTTCTGCCATTTCATGCTTGAAATATTGCTTTGGGCTTGTTCTTCAGAAGTGTAATCTTTTTTTCATTTTTATCTGGTTGACTAGTCAGAAAGCACAAAAATCCAATTTTCAATGGATGAAAGTAATTCTGTACAAGTGGAAAGTTGCACCTGCTTTATTAGAGGAGTAAGGACTAAGTTTTTTCATTTGTATCATTGGAAAGAGCCAGTCACATAGGGAGTGTTTCTTGTCATTGTTTAGGGTCCTGTTCTTACTCAAGCTCCATCTGTAGTCCATGGAGAGGGATGTCATTTGGGATGGAGGGATGACTGCCTCTGTCAATGGGACTGTTTCCTTCAATAATGCTTAAGTTTCTGAGTAGCCACTCTGGGGTGATGATTCTCAGACCTGGTTCTTAACTTAGTGACTGCCCCTAAACACCCATATCTGCTCTGGGGTGTGATAGCACTGTGTTTTATGCTGTATGCTTCAAAATTACTTTTGGGGTCAAGATACTACTGCAAATATGTCAGGATCCTGAACTCAGGCTGAATTGAACTTAAGAATAGCAAGGAGAAGGAGCTAAAGAACATCATTATATGTACATACAGGGTAGGTTTTTTTACCTGAACATCAAGCAAGCACACAGTAGAGACTCAATTGCATTGTCATTTACTTACATTTTTTTACCCACTCCACATTATCAGCAAATCAACAAACCTAAGGCCTGGAAAAATATTTGTTTGTACCCCGTAAGAAGTGACACCATCTGCTTAGAGAGGATACCAGATCACAAAGTTGGGACATTCTGTAACATGGTGGTGAGAAAACTGCTGGAATATATATGTGCAGTTACTTGTCCACCTGCAATAGTCATTAAGAGGGTGGTCAGGCAGAACTAAAAGGGGAAATCAAACCCTGCAAATGCTGAAGACAACTGCATGAGGTTCAATAGGGTGAAGTGCTGGGTCCTGCACTTGGGTTACAACAATCCCATGCAGTGCTACAGTCTGGAGGAAGAGAGGCTTGAGAGCTGCTTAGCAGAAAAGGACTTGAGGGTGCTGGTTTGCAGCCAGCTGAACATGAGCCATCAGTGTGCCCAGGTACTCAAAAAGGCCAGTGGCATCTTGGCCTGTGTCAAGAACAGCGTGGCCAGCAGGACTATTGAAGTGATTTCCCTCTGGTGAGGCCACACCTTGAGTGCTGTGTTCAGTTTTTGGCCTGTGATTTCAAAAAGGACATTGAGGGGCTGGACCAGGTCCAAGGAAGGGCAACTAAGCTGGTGAAAGGTCTAGAAAACATGTCCTATGAGGAGAGGCTGAGCGACCTGGGGTTGTTTAGTCTGGAGAAAAGAGGAGGCTCAGGGGAGAGCTTATCACTCTTTACAACTACCTAAAAAAAGGTTGTAGTGAGATGGGGGTTGGTCTCTTCTGCCATGTCTCAAAGGGAAAGAATGAGATGAGATGGCTTTAAGTTTGTGCCAGGTTCGGAATAGATAATAGAAAAACATTTTTCAATAAAAGAGTGGTTAGGCATTGGAATGAGTTGCCTAGGGAATTTTGTGGAGTCATGTCTCTGCAAGTGTTCAAGAGGCATCTGGATATGGCACTTGGGGATATGGTTTAGGGGTGATTATGGTGGTGATAGGTTGACTGTTAAACTTGATGATTCTGTGATTCTCTGTAGTTTGTCTGAATAATGAGTAATGCCAATATGATAGCCACCTAGAGAAACAGGAATGATGTGAGTACCTGGGAGGCAGCAAAAATGTGGTTAAATTCTTTGCATTTATTAAGGTAAGATAGTCTTGGTACTGCATGTAAAATGTGCCAAAGGGAATGCGACTTGATATAATGGGATATAATTTAGTAAAGAGATAGTTTAGATCAATAACTAGAGAACTACCTGACTTCGAGATCTATACAATTGTGGAAGAGCTTTCTTAAAAAAATTTAAAAGCTCCGTCCTTTAAGACATTTAAAATTATAGTAACAAACACTGGGGGAAAAGCCTATTTTGAAAGGAAATGTCATTTCTCTCACTTTCTTCCTGAAGCATCCTCAAGTATTGCTGTAATACCTGCGTGTTTCAAGATGGACTAATGGGACTTCTGTCTGCAATTCATATGATTTTCTGATATGTTCAAGTTTTTGAGTAACCTGAGTACTTTTGCAATATGACCTAGATAATGGTTTTTCTCTGCCGGGATAAACACTTCCTAAGTGAACCTGATTTTGGAACTACAATAGTATATTTTTATAACTATCAGTGCATTTTCTGGATAAAATTTATAGTTCACGTGTTGTTTAATTTTTTTTGCTAGACATATTTTTGCAAGCATTTCAGTTTGACACTTACAAGCACTGTGAAAAGCAGTAGAAACAGTCACTTTCTTTCTTCTTTTTCCTTTTTCTTTCCTTTTTTCCTTTTCATATGTAGTAGCTTAGTACATGTAAATTAGTAGTGTGTAAATGTCAGCATGAGCTACTTTATGATAGGAAGAACTGAAATATTCAGAGTTACAGCGGTGTTAGGTTAATGATTCGTCTCGATGACCTTTAGGGTTTTTTCCAGCCTAGATGATTCTGTGATTCTGTGGAGAAGTATGAAGAGGAATAACTTCTGTTTATTTCCACTAGGTTTGAGAAAATTAATGTTTGTATCCAGAGTCTGGTATTACTGTGTTTTCATGCAACTGTGACAACTTGCTTTGCTTTTGAGTTAATTCTCATCTCCAGAAAACGTGAAGGAAACCAGAAGCAGACATAAGGAGAACTTGATGGTAGAGGAACAGTGATAGAGATGTAAGGCAATGGCAGCATGAAATGAGGGGCTTGGGATACCAAATTTTCTGGGGAAATTCCCTCTTGTATTAATGATACTTGCACACAATCCAAACTTCTGCTTAATCAAGGGATGTGTTTTATATAAAGGAAAATATGTTAGTGTTATGACTTCTGCAAACACTGGAAACTTCTGCAGTACCAAATTTAAATTGAGAATGGGCCATTCCATCTTTGAAAATAAGGGCTGCATCCACCCCAGGAATATCTCCACCACTCTGAGCTTCAGCAGTCAGTGGGGCCACCTGCTTCCGTCTCAGCCCTTGGGTCTTACGCCCCAGCAACCTGCTCACTCTAACTGTATGCTGGCAGCCATCCTCTAGTTGTTCAGCAGCTTTTCCCTCCAGCTACTCTCACTCCTTGACCAGGTGTTTATCACAGTAAATTGTTCCTCTGTCTCTCTTCCTTCTGTTCAGTCCCTATTCACCCCCTTCAGCCTGTGGAAAGGGTTTTTCAAAAACACGGAGTGCCACTTCTTCCTTCTTTCTTAAATCCTGCCCAGATGATCTAATGCAAGAATCCTTTATGTGGTAGTGAATCAAAATACTTTTTTCAAATATTCTTAAGAAGATTAGATTCAGTTTGGTAACTTTTATTAAATCTCTGAAGAAAAGGTGGAGTGAGCTCACCAGTTCATGTACTGATTATAAAACATTTACTTTAGAATAATACAGGTTTACAAAATTCAGTTTATGCATTTTGCTTCCTGTCTTTGTTAAACAATCTGGATTTTGTACTGCTTGGGCTTTTTTATTGTTGTTGTTTCTTTGCACATACTTCATCTAGATTACTACTACCTAAAGAGTGAAAGGAGAACCTATCTGCAATTTCTGAGTCTTAACCTTGAGTCCTAATACTGTTCTGCCTGGTCTGTGCAGCATTATTTCAAATATTGCAATAATCTCGCTGTGATTAGGTAATCAAAGAAACAGAGTATACTTGACATACTATGTTATTACTTTATGCAGTAATACTACCATATCTTCTGATTCACTACTTCTGCTTGTAGAATCCAATTCTCCATTGCTTTTTTTTTAATTTTATTTTATATTCTCATCTAAATGTCCTAACATTTTCTTCTAGCTATGTGTATGTGTATCTTTCTGGCCTTAAGATATATAATTTCCTATTGTGTGTCTTTTGTGTTTCTTTTCTTTGGCTCAGATTTTGTGTTCTGTCCTCCTCCCTTAAGCTTTCTGATGTGGGTGCCTTGTAGCTTGCTATGGATTCGAATGTATTTCTGTTTCAGTAATATAGTATTTTTTATTTTGATGCTAATAAAGTCTGCTGCATATATTATCTTTACAATGGTTAATTTGCTGACCTCCCTGGTCTAAAGATTTAATTCTATCCTAGAATAGGATGTTTACAGAAAATCAGATTTCCTAATTGGCATTTTGTTTAACTTTGACACTATTAAGACAGAGTGTAGTTTATATACTATTAATAAGGTGTGTTCGGTTTTCAGCTGATAATAAATTGAAGAAAGGAGTCTAAACTTTATGACTCTTAATTAGACCTCTGCAAATACTGATACTATAATTAGATATGAACAAATTTCTAACTTATGGTGATGCAAGTCAGACCCTGGGTTTGCATATTTGCTTTATAAGCTTTTATAAAAGCTGTGTCTAGGAATACTTTGTTAACTCACAATTTTATATTTGTTTAAAATCCATGGATCTACTAACCCAAGGAGAAGACCTTTTGTTCTTTTATTTTTCTGTCTGTGAAATGTGAAGCATGTCATAAGGCAAAGTCCCATTGGAAGGATCTACGGATAACTAGCAATGAACAAAGCTCTGATCAGTTATTCCAGTTAAGATCTTACCTCCACTCTGCTGTCCAGTAGACAGCTTTTGTATTACACCTCTAAAAAAGAAGTCTGACATGGAAAGTGCAGCTGAACATTTTTCAGCTTTCCTGTTTCTGCGGTTCTTTCAAGGAATGGAAAAAGCTGAGGAGTGGAAATTGTCATAAACCCCAGTTTTTTAATATCTTTTACAGAGAAAAACCTTTTCATCTTCATGGTGGGAGGTGTTGAATGTATTTTATACTATGTATTTTTATTATTTTTCAATAATACAATGCAAATGATTTTTTAAAAAATAAAACTATCAGTACACTGTAATGTTTCAGTGGTTTAATTTATTTATGAAATTTAGGCCTATCCAAATTTAATTATAAAGGGCTTTTTTTTGTTTCTGGAGGGCTTTTTTTTTTCCTCTTGGTTTGTTTTTCTAAAAAGAAGTTTTAGTTTATCGCCACTGTAACTGAGCATCACTTCTGTTGGTTGTAAAACTTTTCACACCATTGCGAAGGTTGGAGAGGCTTTTTGATTTTAAAAGTTTCAGAGTCTTTTGTGATAGCAAAAATGTTTACTAAACTTTACTGCGGCTTTCAGAGGTATGGAAAATAATTTGTATTAACTTTTCAGCTGAATTAATTTTCAGCTTTCTTAGCTTAAGGTACATGATTACTGCACACAGTTTTCTCTGCTATTTTTGGTGAATGGTTAATTCAGTCTCTAATAAATTATCAAAGCAGTTAAGGACACTGTCATTCACGTAGATAATTAGAGGATAGCTGAGCCAATACTGGCATAGGTTTTTAAGAAGGAAGCCAGAACAAGCAAACCATGATAATAGAGGAAAGGAGTATAATAGAGGCAATATGTTTTCACTTTAATAGAACATTTGATGGTGTCTTTCTCAAAAGCCTATTTGAAAAGAGCTCATTTCAGGTTGCTGCCTGCTTTTAAACATAGGTGTGTGGAAATACATTACTGGTTGTTAATGAATTGAAGGGAAGTGTCCAGATGAGTGCCATAGGGCCTTGGGTTGGTTTATTTTTACCTGCTCTTTGCATGATTCTTTGAAAAGCGGAGATGATGAACTCAAGACTGCTGAGGTCAGGAGACATATTGCAGTGTAGCGTAGTGCTTACTGTGTTAGCAAGTGTCTCTCCTACCCCATTCTGGAGCTGGACAAGGGATGCTGGGTCCTCCTGCTTGACACACAGTTGCTGTCTAACTGATGAGCCAGGAGAAGAAAAGAAAGGAAACCAGAGCCTTTCAAGTTATGGCAGAGCAGTGCTGTGTATGGAGGTGAGTGACAGGCTGAAAGCATGAAGCTTAGGGCAGGCTTTGGAGTAAAGGCAAGTCAGAGGCAACCTGAGCATTGGATGTGGAGTCCAGGGAGCTCTGTCTGCAGGGAGCAGACTGTTGCTGGCAATGGTGGAAGGAGGATGCTGGAGATCCCTTTCAGAGCCTATGGTTAGGCTCTGCTAGTGAGGCAATGGAGAAAGATGCTCTCTTGAGTGCAGTCTGTAAATGGGCCTGAGCTTAATGGAACAATAAACAGGCTATGTCAGAAGCTTTATACATGGCAGATTAGCCTGTGAAAAAAAAGCAGTGTAATATTACCTGGCTCTCTGTGCTTATAAGTAGTAAGTAGAGGGCATATGTAATCAACCTAGCCCTCAGGGTATGGTTTGCAGTCTGTTGCCTGCTGGTGAGTGTCCAGCATGTAGGAATTGTTTCTTCCATATAATCAGAGAGAGCAATGCAAAAAACATTGCGCTTAGAGGCAGATCTATAGCTTAATTGGCCTCTAAATAGGGAAATGAGGAATCAGAAGAAGAAACTAGGTATTAAAAGTAATGCTAGTTGGATATGAATATCTGGTAACTAGTACTGTAGAATCATAAAATAGAACATAGAATCATAGAATATGCTGACCCCTCAGGATCATAGAGTACAATTCCTGGCCCTGTGCAGGACACTCCAAGAATTACACCAGGTGCCTGAGAGCATTGTCCAAACGCTTCTTGAACTTAGACAGGCTCGGTGCTGTGACCACTTCCCTGGGGAACCTCTTCCGGTGCCCAACCACCCTCTGGGTGAAAAACCTTTTCCTGATATCTAAACTAAACCTCCCCTGACCCAGCTCCATGATTTTTCCTTGAGTCCTGTCACAAGAAGAAGAGATCAGTTCCTACCACTCTGCTTCCTCCTTGTGAAGATACTGAAGACTTCAGTGAGGTCTCCCCTCAGTCTCCTCTTCTCTGGGCTGAACAAACCAAGTAACCTCAGCTACTTCTCATAAGGCTTCCCCTCCAGACTCTTCACCATCCTCATGGCCCCTTCTCTGGATGCTCTTTAGTAGCTTAATGTCTTTTTTTATATTGTGGTGCCCAAAACTGCACACAATATTCAAGGTGAGGCCACACCAGTGCAGAGCAGAGAGGGACAATCCCCTCCCTTGATGGCTGGTGAAGCTCTGTCTCATGCCCCCAGGACACGGTTGGCCCTCCTGGCTGCCTCCTGGCTGCCTGACTCATGTTCAACTTGCCATTGATCAGGACCTCCAGGTCCCTTTCCACAGCACTGCTTTCCAGTCTCTCATTCAGAGTTACTTCAATAGTCACATCCTATTTTCCCCACTTGCCTTTATCTCACATTTAAGTCTGAGTCAATCGATGTTGATTACCAGCAGAGAGATCAAAGTAGGTGAAACATACTTCAAATCCTATTCAATATCTATATAAAGTATCCCAGGCCTTTCCCACAAAACTTTGGGCCAACTTTAGCACCTGTGAGGAGTAAATGATAAATTTAGAGGTTTAAAGCAGAGGTGCCATATGCAGCTGAATAAACAGCCAAGTATCTTTTCGGTGTGTTATGATCTAGCCTGCAGCTGACAAGTGTCAGAAGTCAGAGAGAAGCCATTTCAGAGAGGATTTTTATAGTCATATGAAAATAAAACAGATATCTGTTACTTATTCTTCTTCTCTGACTACCAGCAAAATCAAATGGGATTAAAATCCCTGGAATATGTATTGATACACATGACAGCTGGAACCTCTGTTATGGACATGAACACTCATATAGGTGTTAGTCTTTTTCTTTTGTCCATCAAAAAGGAACAAGACTGGAAACATCAAACTTCAGACAGCTGGAGAACAAAAATATGCAGAGGGAAGCCAGGATTTCCAGAGAGCTATCTTTTCCTAAGTGAATTCAAGTTGAAAATTTTGTAAGGTTGAAAGTAATAGAAGATTCTTTTTAAAAATTTCGTTTCTCTTACAGTCTATGACTTTGTAATTCTTGGCTATTTTTTCAAAGAGCCAGCAGCTGTGTTTTGTGTACAAAGACTGTAATTGCACTGATTTGCTGATAAAGCTTCAGGTGGTTTTTTTTAGCAAAGCTGGACCTGTGATTACCTTTGGAAAACTGAGCTTAACTATATTGTCCATATTTTACTACAGATAGAAAATGCAGTATGTGGCCTAGCAAAAATTGAAATGATGACAACTATTCTATGGAAGTGACATAGAAAAATTGTGCTGTTGGGTTTTTTTAACTTATGTGAAAGCACAGAAAAATATAATCACAAACAACTCAAATTTAATTAACTGTATATAACATAAACTTTTTATTTGTGACATTCATCAAGTATTGCTGAAACAGATTAGTAGAAATATACAGTCCAGAAAAATCTTTAAGTGAGAAATGAAGGGACAAAAACAGGATTCAGAAAGCGCTACAGGTTCATTGCAAGACATCATTGATGTAGATATCAACTAATTGAGCTCTTGGTTTGCCTTTTTAGTTGGTAGAACGGAAGAGCACCTTTAAGGGCCTGAATCCACATGATTTGTTTAATTCCTACATTAATGCGTTTCATCTTAGATAACGTGATTTTATTTACTAGGCCTTCAATGACTTCAATGAATCCCTTGGGGTGACAGAGTAAAACAGGTGTCTGGATTGTAGAAAACTATTCCTGGTTTGGTGGATTCCACCCCAGTCTTTTCAGTCTTCTTTTTTAAAAATTGCTATAGTGCTTTTATAATTTATCTTATTACCTGTCACAGTTCTGTAAGGCTAGTCTGCAAGGAACCTGCTTTTTCACTGACCCTCTGCACTTAGGTGTTATTTATAGAATTTGTTCAAAGCCAACATAAAGTGCTACTTGAACACAGTTTTACTATCAGTAAATTTGAGCAAGATTTGTCTGGGGATCTCTGAAAGTTGGCTTAGAGAGCTGTATGTGACCTTTTTGTCTAGTATCTCTATTCAGAAGGTACACATGTGAAAGTTAATTACTGCCACATATTTGTAGGGTAATTTTTGCCCCTAGGCAGATGATCTGTTCTTTTGAGTTCAGATCTTGTGGATACCTCAGGACTTGTGACACAAGACTTAGCCAAACAATCTTGTTTTTGTTTTTTTGTTTTTTGTTTTTGTTTTTTTTTTTGCATTATTTTTGAGTTGTCTATACTTTGTTTTTTTTTCCCACAACTGTTTTTCTTACTCTCAGAAGAGGAAGTTAGCTGTCTGAAAACCTCAGAAAAACCTTTTGAGAATTAGCTTAGTGAAATGAAAGGGAGCAAAGACACACTATTCTATTATTTTGTAATAAGAATATACATTACTGAACATTACTATACATAGTCTAGTAATTTCTAATCTTGTTTTAATTTTTTTTTATAGGTCAGTTGTTTCATATATGGCAATTCCCATGCAACATAAAAAGACTTTGCATAGTTATTTTTGAATGTTTTCCCTGGAAGGTTGTATTGCGTTTGAATTAACAATTATCATTTGCATGTGTTTTCCCATTTTTCAGAGAAACAGTTTGCTTTAAAAAATGTGCAACTTCGTGAAACTTTAGACAGTAATTTTCCTTCACTTTTAGAGTCAGAATACATTTTAAAAAAATGATGTTTAATATAAATTGCAGGCTAGGATGGAGGTAAACAGATTTCAGTCAACCTGATTTATCTCATATCTGTAACTAAAAAGTTGCTGTTAAAGTCTGAGGAGACACAGGCATGTAAAAGTG